GCTAAACTAGGGACGGCTAGCGCAGATAGCCCTTGTGTAGCTTTGCGCGAAATTCAAAAACAAACAAACAAACCGACCAGCATGCACGAGCTACGAAGAAAAGTGGAGGGACGCAGTTCACGAAACTTGCCCAGGACGAAAAAATGATTGGCTACGGCTCTGCGTAGAAACTATGTAATTAATGTCTTAACTCATTATTAAAGTCGAATAAACCATTGGCTCTTCCATAAAAGTTTCACACGAATTTATTACGCAAATCAGATAAACCGTCAACTCGTATAGAAGGTCACATTTAACGACGTATTTCATTACTCAAACCTAATAAACTATTCACTCTCTCGTCAGTCTATACATCTGACATCACAGCTCAATGCTAAAAAAGAACCCAGAAACAACTGACTCTCCTGTGTGTTGAAATTTAATACTTAACATTTGAGCTCATTACCTAGTTCTTATAAACTATTGACTGTCTTGTAAAAGCCGTATATCCATTTTCATGTTCCATTAATGAAATCCAATAAATTGGCACCTCTCCAATGGAATGCTGCGGGTTGGTCCTGTGGTATAGCTCTGGATTTTATGTTTGAATCCTTGCGATACAACAAAATATTCCCTATGATTTAAGCTGACTGGCTACTTTGCCTTTGGTCACTATTTCAGAATTAGGGCCAGAAAGAGACAGCCTTAATGTCTTTTCCATAAATACAGAAATACAATTAGCCCATCACTAAAATCCGGAAAAAATCTGTTAATCAACTTTCCAACGCAAAAATTCTACAAATATATTCATAGCCCATTAGTCAAATCTGATAAATCAGTATTTCTCTATATATGCTTCGCCCCTAACATCAAAGTACACTACCTGACTAAAGCTTTAGCTTTTTCTCGTAAAAGCTTCCCATTTCATGTCATAACTTGTTGCTCAAATCTAATAATCTGTAGAATCTCTAATAAAATTAATTAACTGTCATATCTCATCATACAAGTACGAAAAATAATACTCTAGACTTTCTATCGCAAGTTTCACATTTTCATAAAAGTCTGTTACTCATATTCGATTAACCGTTAATTTATTTCTTCCAATGATGAACTTGAAGCTTCAACTATATGCTTACAACTCAACTTCCTTTCAGACGTTTCTTTCTATATTACTTGGAAAAGTGAACATTTTTCGTACATTTATGGGAGTTGCAAACATGTTAAGGTACAGCGTGCAAATAGCTGGCATTGTACTGGGTTGATCTTATACTTGTGCTAATCGCACATTATCAAGAGGCATTCCTTTATGGTATATCTGACTTTCGCGTGGATGGTGTGCTGCAGAATTCCTTTAGGCTTGCACCAATAGGTTCTGTAGTCGCTTCAGTTTTTCTTATTTATTTTAAAGGCAATGACTAGATATGATCTAACCCCAATGAGTATATATTGGTTGATCCTCTAAGCGTTGGCCAGATTTTCGTTTGATATGTGATCGTCTATCAGACGTTGATTTATTTATTTTGTTTGACTTGTTCTCCTGCTTGATATATATAAAAGCATTTTGTTTTATTGTGAAACTTGTGTTCAGTCTGTTTCTTCTCTTGAGCTAAGTCAGTATTCATACTAACCCTGCAATTCATTGACTGTCATGTCTCTTATAATAGTGATTGTTGTTCTTACTTGAGCACATGAGAATAGTTCATTGTACGTCTGTTTCAAAAAAATGTTGTTTTAAAGTGGGAGGTTAATAAGGTGTGAAAGACATTCACACTTAGAGTAAAATTTGAGAACATCAAAAAGTAGTAAAAATAAAAATTGAAGTTATCAGCCCCTGATCTAGATATTTTGAATATATTTTAGTGATTGATTGTGCGTTGTAAATAAATAATTACTACATTTTTTGTAGAACCGAACCAGTTACAGTACCAGTGAAGAAGGGCAGTCTCAGTCTTCTGATTATGAGGAAACTGAGGAAATCGAAAAGGTAAGTTTCAGAAAAAAAAACCCATCTCTCTTTACTTAAGTGAAAGGTTGTTAAGGTGCAGAAGAAGAATATTTGAAGTCGAAGCATAATGACTATCCATATTAAAATTTTAGTTAACATGAAATATAAATGTGGAGAAAGAGAAAAATTCGTACATTTGTTTGTTTGTTGTTATCACAAAGCTACACAATGAGTTGTGTGTGCTCTGCCCTCCACATGTACCAAAACCTGATTTTTAGTGTTATAAGCCATCAGACTTACTACTGAACCACTGAGTGGTGGAGAGAGAGATCAAAATCATGTGAATATGTCATATAGGAGGGAGGGTGGCAATAAATTCCAAATAACATATACAGGAGAGAAAATCCTAATTCATACCAATTTGTATAAGTATCTTTGTGAGCTCCATTCATCACCAACTATTGAAATTAATACATACTATGAAAAAAAAAACCTTAACTCATACCAGTTTGTACAAGTATCTGCATCACCCTTTGAAATGGACTCGACCACCACCTCTCTCCCCCACAGGGAGTAGATTGGCTCATACTCAGGGCCAAAGTGATACAAACTATTAGCCATTGCTATGTGCAGCCATTACATTAGAAATAGTATTAGCACATGTTTATAACCTTTCAGCATCTGGTTAACGAAAATGTAACTACACACAGGACACCTGCATGAAAATTTAGAAAAATAATGATACATAATAAAGGTATATCCTATATCAGACATTTTTAAACTTTTTTGTTCAAGACACACCAAAAATTTTTTTATTATTTGGAAGGACCACAATGGGATCTGTACACCATACTGCCACTTTCTTTACATAATCATGCAACTTTTCCATGGACCACAAAAGGAGTCTATTGATCACAGATCGAGAACTGCTGTTCTGTATTATTTGGAAGGGTGAAATTAATGGCTGTTTCAATTATGACAATAACAACACTCATTACAATGAAATGCCATTAAACTAAAACAAAATTGTTGTTTAACTTGAACAGTTGGTGTAAAGTTTGATTAATTCTCAATAAGTGTATGATATTCAACCAAAAAAACTTTGAGAAACACACATTTAAATGACATAAACGTTTTTTTGCTAAATGTAACATAGTGTGTTTGTATTATTAATTGAGTATAGTATCTTGTCAAAACAGAGATTAATTAAAATATAGCCATCTAACTTGATATAATAGAATAGAGAATTATTTTCTAGAAAATGGACAGTGGGCTGTCACGTGACCATAGTGGGCGATCTTCATTAGCTGGGCGCGTCCGTGAACTCCATCGTGATGTAAGAAGAAGGTTCTCTCGGTTGAAGAGTTCCCGTTGCATGCCGGATACTGAGGTAAGAGCAGCTGTACATTTATAGTTTTCCACTAGGGGATGTGTATGGTAAATGCTTTATCTGTACATTACAGAAGTTTTCCTGTAATTTATTTCAAAAGGAAGGGATTTATTCACAAAGGTGAATAAAAATCCTTTTAAAAGTTCTTGTGGCAACTTTTATTAAAGCTTTAAGAAACTACATTTGATACATTCACTTGCATCCTCCTGTCTTTAAGCAAAAAACATCTTTTCTCTAGATACTTTATTTTTTACATTTCTCTTTTATTTTTGTACAGCACTGTTACTTAACCAGTACTATAATAGTACACTTTCCCAACAAAAACAAAGTTTGGGTATTGTACAGTTATACTAGATATTCTGATCAATAGACAAAAATACACAAATCTTAAAATTATACATAATGACCACTTTATGTTTAGGACATAGGTTAATTCCTATTTTAAAGTGTAAAGAGGAACATCTGATATCTGATGTATGATGTATATTTTCAATATACGGAAGAAGACCTGGAACAACAGTCTGCACACTAGTCTCCATTTTAAACTTTAGACAGGGACACCATACGTATTGGTTGTATGTTAGTCTCAGCTTTAAAAAGCAAACAAGAACACCTGGATCAAGATATAATCATCAGATTACTTCCTCCTTTAAAATGCACATAGGAACATCTAGAAGTGTAGTCTCTTGGTCTTTTTGTGCCTAAAATATAAACACCTGGAGGTGTAGTATAGATGTAATTTCCACTTTAAAATATATATACAGGAATAACTGAAAATGTGGCTGGTACAATAGTTCCCACTTTAAAATACACATTATTTCCTGCTTTATAATGTAAACAGAAACATCCGAAGGTATAATTTATATGCTAATTCACACTTTAAAATATATAACACATCATATGGCTAACAAGAGACAATTTGGTCCTTCAAAGCTGTCCTTGCACATCCACCAGTATGCCAAGATTTTTTCCTTCAGTCACTCTATTGAGTAGGTTCCCATGTATGTTAAAGTAATATCCAAATTATGAAAACCTATTACCTTGCACTTAGTATAAGTAAAGACAAGGTTAGCATGACCAGGGGGAGCAGGATGTACACTTGCACAGAATGATAGGTTCTTGGGGGTGTAATTATGTAGAATTCCTCTAATGGCAGAAGAGTGGGAATGTGGGATAGGCAACACAGTCAGCTTTTACACAGGGTGGCAAAACGTGTTGTGTCGGCCCTGATTAAAGGTCATTTGCTAAATATTAGTCCAATTTACCAATTGATCCAAGTCTTTCTGTAATACCTCAATGTCCTTAGTACAGCTAAAGATAACTAAGAGTTTATTGTCATCAGTAAACTTTACTAATTTAATAATAATGTCCCTATCAGTATCATTAATGTCAATATGAAAATGGGAAGACCCACAAAATGATCCCTGAAACACCCCAGTAGCAACAAGGGCCCAGTTTGGCTTGACTCCATTTGACCATCCTACAATCTAATTAAATAGTTTTTCTGCAACTGCTACTGATGTGATTTTCTTAGTTACTCTTTTATGTAGCACCTGATCTAAAGCTTTTTAAAAATCTAAGAATACTAAGTCACACTATTTCCTTCATCCAGATAACAAATAACATGTAAGAAAAAATTAATAATGCAAGATTTGCTTTTGGTAAATCCATGTTGGCTTTCATTTTTGATATCATATTTCAATAAATTATTTCATGAAGCTTCTAGAAGCTCTAGAATTTCCCCCCTAGAAATAAGACTAAATGGCCTATTATCTCCAGGGCAAATATTATCACTTTCTTTAACATTAGGAGTAATATTAGCAACTTTCCAATCCTCAGGCATCTGCCCACTCTATTAACCTATCAGAAATGAAAGAGAGAGGCTCACATATCTGGTCTTTTGCTTGCTTGAAAGCCTTAGGGACACTTTGTCTGGCCCTGATGCTTTATATGCTTTTAATCCCTAAATCTTTCTTTTTACAACTAAGGGCTTAATATGTTAATCATTCAAGCCAATTCCAATATATTATAGAATGCTTAAAGTCAGTAATATTGCTAATATCTTCTCTTGTAAAAAACAGAAAGAAACACATAAAACCTCAGCAGTCTCATGGTCTTCAACAAGAACCTTGTCATCAGTATCCACTAAGGGCCTGATTCCCATTTTAACATTTTGCTTACATTTAACATACTTTTAAAAAATGCTTAACATTATGAACCAGCTCTCTCCATAAGCTTTCTTATAGCTCTGAAATTTTTATAACCTATCTGTTAACTTAAACTTATGGCATTTATCCCTACTTTTCTCCTCTATATTTTTAGTAAGCCAAATATGTTTGACCTTCCCTGTTACCCTTTTTCTGTGTTTAGGAACATGCCTACTTCAAATTAAAAGCAATTTATTTTTTAAAATTTCCAAAATATGTCCTACTTCACCTTTTAACTCAAAAGGACACATGAGGGTAAGGTTTATGTTTTATTTATACTTTACAATGGAAACAAGTATACCATCGAACATACATAAGCTTTGCTCATCATTCACTTTGCAAGAATTGTAAATGAACCATGGTGTACTGGGTGGGGGGCAGGCAATGAAAAGAACTTAGAGGTACTGACAAAGATTTTGTTTGCTAGCAACTCCGGGAGCCAGTTGACCAACAGGATGGAATTACTAGACCAGGGAGTTCATTAGAGAGTCTTCCTAGTGAAAATGGTTCCAGCTCTCGATGTAGTAAGTTTTGGTGTTTTTTCTCAAATAATATACTAAATATATTAGACATGATAGTTTGTTTTATTGTGTAAACAAATGTTTCAACTTCACATCACAACTTAATATCTGCATGAAGTATGAACTTAACTACAGCCTGTTTTACATTTAAAAAAAGATGTCCTTAAATTATAACTTCAAAAGATATTGTCACTGACAGTTTGACATCTGATGTTAAATAAATTACCTGAACTCTTTGCTGATCTACAGCAATTTCCAGAAGAATTAATTGTAAGATATGTGTTATAGAAAATTATGTAAAAATTTAATAATTGAACTAATTTTTTCTTTACATATTATGTTAAACTCTTACCTGACATTTACTTAAAACGTGAAAACTGACAAAAAAGGCTCAGCAGTCACAGTTAAATCCAATATTTGAAAATATGTTCATGATTTGAAACTAATTTATCTTTCATAATTTTCAGTGCAATGTATGAATTACACCTAGCTCATCAACATGTTTAATTTGTTAATCTATATGAGTATTTTCTACTGCAGTGCCATTAGTCAGAGAATTAACAAAACTGAGTAACAGGTAGTTGGTTCTCCTATAATTATGAATTTAGGAAATATTCATTGTCCAGTATTATAAGTAAAAAAATTAGTAATTAATATTGAAGAATAACAACAGATAATTTATTAAACTCATTTATCTCCAATCATTTAGGTTTGCAAACACAGACGCCATCAAGCAGTAACCGTAGTTCTACCTCTGTTGGAGAAGATGAGGGAACCCCATACATTGGTCCCTTTTTGGGTCGAGCGCGTGCCTTAACTGATTACACACCTAGTCCATATGATAGAGATGCCCTTGCTTTTAAGGTAGGCTGTTTTTTCATATTCTCTCTCTATTTCCAAAATTATAAATATAACAGGTAATGAATTCATCCGCTATTGTAACCATACTTGGGAAGTTTTAGATTTGACTTACTTTGAGATTTTTTTTTAAACTTATATAGTACATTGCTGATACATAACTTTAAATACTCAATCATAAAATCTTAAGTAATACTAAAGAATTTTAATTTAGCTTCTTTAGTATTACTGAAATAATAAAACAATAAAATATACTTTTGAAGGTAAATAATTTGTATGAAGGACAACAATGTATAAATTCTTATTTATTGCACTGAATAAAAAAAGCTCGTAATTACATTTTGCCTAATTTTCATTGGATTTACTGGCCTAGACATGAATTAAACAATTAAAATGATTATAATGAGATTTTCAAAAAAAACTAATCTCAATAAACATAATAACAAAAATTAAAAATAAAAATCTGTTAGTCGCAAAAAATACATTAGCATGGACACTGTGCTTTCTACAGGAATATCCTAAGGATTATATAAAGACATTGGAACCCCAACAAGGTATAGGAATTTTCAGAGTCTCCGGGCCATGTTCACATCTATGTATGATTGTAACTCTGCAGTAATATCTTAATTTATGGTAAACTATTTTTTTTCTGGTGTTTTATTGTTTAGAACTATGTCAACATGCACTTTCATAATTTTTAGATAAAATTAAATTTGTGTATTTTGTTCTTTTCAAAAGATAAGTGACAATAATTGTTTTACTTTATTTTAAGATGAAGATAATGCACAAATTGTGTTTTGTTTTGTTTTTTGTCCAGAAAGGGGATATTATTGACATTATAGCTAAGCACAATACAGGAATCTGGGTTGGCATGTTACATGGTCGTGTTGGCAGCTTTAAATTCATTAATGTTGAAGAACTACGAAAGGAGGTTCGACATCGTCAACTTCGTTTCAAGAGGAGTACACAGTTGGCTTCACTAGCTGCTATGAGACCACAGACATTAGAAGACATTCTACACATGGTTGGATTAGAGGTTAAGCATAAATATTTTATCATTTTTAAAAACACTTTAATACTTAGAAAGTAAGCATCATAATTTCTTCTAGTTTATTTTTCTGTACTTGTATTTTAAGCTCAGCAAGTTTAAAATCGATTTTTCTTTAGGATTTTTTAAATTAGCTCAGGAAAAATTTAGTATATTTTAATATTTTCTTAAATCAACTCAGTCATATTCTTTAGATTTTGCTGCTTTCTTAAACCATATCTTCTTTATTTTTAAACCAGTTAGCCATATTCACTGTTCTCTTAAATCAGTGCTGACATGTTCTTAGTTTTCTTAAATCAATTCAGACACATTTTCTGTTTTCTTAAGTCAATTCAACCATATTCCGTTCTCTTAAATCAATTCACACATATCCTTTATTTTCTTAAATCAGTTCAGACATATTTTCTGTTTCTTTAAGTCCATTCAGACATATTCTCAGTTTTCTTGAATCAGTTTAACTGTATTTTCTGTTCACATAAATGAGTTCAGTAATAGTCTCTGTTTCTTAAATCATATCAGACATATTCTCACTTTTCATAAATCAGTTCAACTTATTTTTTGCATTTCCTTAAGTCACATTTGTTCTGTCTTTTAGAATTTTATAATGGTGGCTTGGAAAAAAAAAACAACCTAATGATAAAAAATGATGTCCTCATCATTAAAGTTGATCATCAAAATTTGATGAGGAGTAGATTTTGAGGCTCTAACTTAAATAAAACTTTTCTTTCAATATAATTTTATCTCCTCTGTGTTTCCGGCCAGTTTTTACCTGTAATTTCCTTAATACTTATCTTGACACAGTTTTTTTATTTATTCCTGACTCTGTACTGAGTTATATAAATTCAGAATTTTTTTAAAGAAATACATATGATTTAACCATATTCTTAATTTTTTCTGCTGTTGTTGCTCCTTTACTTTCCAAGTTTGCATTTATTCTTTCAAAAATATTTGACTTTTTCTGTGTCTGTAATCCTGCACGAGTGCACAGATTTTATTTTTGAATTTAAATAGAAACTGTTCGAAATATGAATCCAACCTTAAGTTAATATTAAAGATAAAGCAGGATGGTATATATTCTTTGAAGAGAGTGGAGATTGAATTTAGGACTACACTTTCCTTCTTTACCATAAATTGTGTAAGCATATCATTTGGGAAATTTAACTTTTCCGGTTTAAAATATTTTTATAGAACAATATACCAATATAAAATAAACTTTTTTTAATTGTATAAAATAACTGTGTTAAAATAAAATATATATATTTATATATATGTGAACATTATAGCTAAGTAATTTTACTTTGACAATATGATCAAGTAATTTTTATAATGAGCTGTATAAACATTTTACAGTCCATAAAACAAACAGATGTAATTTTCTAGTATTTGTTTTTTCTCATAGCAATATACCCATATTTTGGTTCTGAATGGTTACAAACACCTAGACTCATTCAAGGACATAGAGATAGAAGATTTGGAAGGGTTAGGTATTTTGGAACCAGATCATCAACAACAGTTGCTAAGAGCTGCAGATATGTTACTGGAATGTGAAGGTTAGCTTTGCTTATACAAATGTTGTAAGATTTAATCTTGTTAACTTTCTAGCTTGAGACATTACAATTATAGTCTGACTAACATTTTGTTATCAATACTGATAATGACTATTTGTTTAGGTATTAATTTTGGTTTTACAGGCACTAAATTAATATTTTAGGCGCTATATGATTACTTTACAGCTGTAAAAATTATGTGTTGTTACATACTGTTACGTCTCCGTTCGTTAGTTAATTTTCCGTAAATTCGTTCCAACGAAACTTTAGCGACACAAGTCCTTTCTTAAATAAAACTGGTTTATTCTTTCTGAATACAACTTTACGATACACTTAATTTCAACAGTCGCTCTATAACAAACGCTATAACTCACGTGGCCAACAATATTTTGTCTGCATACATTCAATTACTCATTACCTACACACTGTTCCATCATGTTGTGATCATCTTATATATATACCAGACTACCCCCAATCTAGTAGTCTCCCGATAATTCGCGAAGGTTCGAGAGAAGGATGTGGCATGATACTAGTCACGTGACCTCACTGACGCAACAATACTATTCTGTGTGGTATTCTCAGGTGTGCACTGGTAACTTTAAAAGAAAGAATAGTAATTGCAATATCAGGAGGTATTGCACAAAATTTTATGCAAAGTTAATGCTGAATATCTGACTTGATTGAGTTGAGGAAATGAAACTAAAACAATATAAAACAAAGTGAAAGTAATCCTTATTTACACACAATAGAAGTCTAATCTAATGAGTTCAGAAAGACAAGGGACATCATTACTTTCAAACTGTCAAGATATCTTACAAGGAAGAACTCTGGATGAAGACAAAGTACTAACCACTATATTGAAATCAAAATAGGATCATCTCTCTCAAACTGAATACACTACCCATGTTATTGGTTATTCCATAAGTGAAAATAGGGAGGACATAACTTTCAAGTATTTCAAAACCTATACATAGTGATATCACTAGAGAACATTGATTTAAGATCAAAATAGACCTGCAGTAACATTGTCAGTGAGGAGGCTTAAAAATAACAAAATTGGATACTTACTTCATGATCATGTGCAAGTTAGACAAGAAATAGTGTGTCAACTGTTTAACACTAATTTCTTGATATGCAAAAGTTGACAGGCTTCCCAAATGCATTTATAGCTAAAAGTTTTGGTAAATTAAAATTGTTTAATTTGGTAAGTTAAAAGAGAAAGAAAACATGTTATTTCTTCTTATAACCAATGAAATATAAAAAAATGAGAATGCCATGCTCCTTTAGTACCTTACTTTTTAAATATTTACACCACTTACCAGGTACACAAGACAAAAAAATCACTACATTCAGCAAAACCAAAGTTATAATGCAATGTTACAGTGCATCAAACTCAGGGTCCTAAATTCTAAAAATTTCTAAACAATTCTTCACAAAAAATTCTAACCAGTCCTTATAATGTTTAACATTTGTACTCAAAGAATATTTATAGATACGTTAATTCCATTTTATCAATTCAAGATGTGATTTTTTTCAAAGAAAGACACAATTCTAAATATGTAAATAACAATTGCACAATACACAAAATACAAAAATATACTCTTTAACAGTGATTAACAGTATAAAAATAATAATAAAAATTAGAAAGTAGAGTCATAATATAACATTCAACTAAACTCTTGAGCATGGATGGAATGTTACATAAACATTAGAACTTAAAAGTACTTTTTTTACCATATTCAAAATCAAAATTAACATGTAAGAATAAACTTGGTAACAAAGATAATTAGAATTTTTAAAAGAGATAATATGTAAGTACTTCACTGTAGTTATAGTACTAATGTCCCCCCCCCCCCATTGATATATTATTAAATGCAAAAATACATATTGAAAATACCGTTTAATAATCATGGTTCTTTCTAAGTTTCACATGGTGAAGGCACTTGAGCAGAGAATATTTTTGAAATAAAGAAAATCCTTTAACAAAGATGAGCTAAAATAACCAATTTCACAGAAATACACTCTTTAATAGCATGAAATTTGTAAAATGTTTTAAAATATAAAATACAACATTATACAAAATCAATTTCTCATTAGCACCAACTGTCAAACTAATTGTATTTGATAAGAAGCAGTAATACATAAGAAATATCTTTTCAATCGTTTAAGTATCACTCATTAAAACTAAACTCTTTAATGTGGACAATTGTTGACACCACTGAATGGACTTACAATAGAAACAAAAATAATCTTTGGTATAGATACATAAACGTCAAAATTAAATGTACAAGGCATACCACCTTTCAACATCAATTAAAAGATTAACAAAAAATTAAAACCTACAATTCAAAGACAGTATCTGTTAATTCAGTGCAAAAATTATTATGTCTTATACGGTTTATTGACAAAATCAGTTATGTCATAGTAAGGCACATATAATTTTCACGAACTTAAATAACCGATTCATAATGAAACCATGAAAAGAATGCAATTTCCAAATGGGGTACCGATCTCATGTAATCAAGAACTAAATGTAGAATTTGTTGTGTTTAACAAAATAATATTCTAATAGCTAATATCAGCTACAGTAAACTAAGGGCAAAGTCACTTTATTCAACAATTTGTTATGATATATAGATACTAAGTATATGTTAGGAATGTTGATTAACAACTTATATTATGTGGTTCTATCTGTAGATTATGTAAGCAGAATTAGTCTTTGGAATTTCAGAATGTTTGTAAAAACTTTTCTTTTAACGATTTACTATGTTGGAAAAACGAACTTCATTATGCTAAAAATCATGTACTGATGTCACTGTATTGAAGAAGTAACTGATATTATGTGTAAGTTTCTGTTTAGATATTTGATATTCAATCTTATCACATGCTTGTAAAGAAATGAAACAAAATGTTGTTTTTATTGCAAGTTTTTCACTGTAGTTAATGATTCTGATGTTAAATAATTTGTAATTGTTTCAATGGTAAGATATTAATGCTTAAAATTAGTGTTGATACCTACAGCAACACATAGTCTTGCCACCCACCCTGAACGTGAAGAACCGATTGAAGATTCATCTCTTGATAAAGAGAAGAATACGGGACGAGATTCTGGGTGCTATACTGGCCGTGAATATTTCACTAATCAAGAACCTTCCAGGGATGTTGATAATTTCCATTGTGTAGGATGTATTGGACACTCATCAAATAGTGAAAATATTTCTAATGAAGTTCTGAATGTAAGGAACAATTTGGATGCTGATTATTTGCCACAACAAAATGCACAAACTTCATCCCAGAGCTATAACAACACCAGCACAAACTCAATGGGTAGTTTCAATATTCCCATTACTTACTCATTCAATCTGAGTACCACTGGTAATGAGCCAATTTTTGATGAGGAAAAAGTGGTGTTGCGAAAAAAAAATGATGATAGTCGTTCTTCAAGAGCTCAAATTGTTGAAAATGAGAAGCATGAAACACAAGCAACAGCAAATTGTAGCCCTGAAGATGTTATCAAAGTGTCCTCTCAGCTATCATGCTGTGAAAATGGCTGCTTTCCAGTTGATCACGAAGAAAACATGACGGACTCTAAAAGTTGTACCTGTGTCGTTTGTTCCATGAAGTCCAAATCTTGTATCGCAGAGACATTTCCTCAACCGACGAGCCCGGTGAATACTAAGTGTGTCCTATCAACTCCTCAGGACTCTCCTGTACATGTCTCCTGTGGTTCCGGTTTTGCCATGAGAGTTAGGTGTGCTACTTTACCCCGCAAAAAGCAGCAGGACTCTGAAGATCCTCCTCCTCCTGGAAAACGAGATCACAAAATCGTGGAGAAAAAACAGAACAGAAAGTTTGGATTCAGAAAAGGAACTTTACAAGACACCCGTCACATTATCCAATCCCAAGGGTTAACCTTATTATCTGTTGTAACCAATAAGTTAGAGGAGGAAAAAATAGATTTGTGCCAAGAGCCCTACACGGATAAGGTAAGTTCAGTATTAAAAAATCATTATGATATATTTGAAGACTTCAGTCTACTTAGATTTTTTTCAATATTACCTAATTATTTATAGTACTCTTTAAGAACATGAGCCTATTGTGCCTATATACTCGAACTCATGAACTATTTAAAATAATTTTGCTGTGACTCGATATCTGTTTTTATTCTCTTAAATGATGATGTTTAGAACGATATTAGAGTAATTTTTAAGATCATGAGATTAAAATATTATTAATTTAATGTATTTATTTCGAAGTATTTAACTACATGTTACACAAACGTACATACAGATAGAACTACTTATCCTCCAAAAACGTACAAAATTAGATATTTTTATAGCTTTGTAATAGCTTACTTTTTCTGTACGATCTCTACGTCCTCTTCATTTTTACACAATTATTTTGAAATGAATTATAATAGAAAAATGTTTGATTAAAAATTAAGAACACGCAGTCTTCCGTGAGCTTCCACACTGAAAGAAAATAAAAAAAAGGGCTTTAAATGTTTTTTCTAGGGTATTGAAAAACTACGAAAATTCTAACAGCCAGTTAAATGAAACTCCGTTTGATACATGCTTGATAATATTCTTTTGTGACTGCAGTTAAACATACCAGTCATTTGAGATAAAATGGTTTATAAATGAGCAGTTATGTGTATATCACTAAAATAGTCACGTTTCCTTCAGACCGGGTTTTGTGGTATTCCACCAGCTTTAGTACAGAGATATTCGGAAGAACTTCAGAGGGATATCTATGACGTAGCCGAAGTTCTCGATCAAGCTCGGATCAATGCTCTTCATCAACAAGAAAGAAAAGGGGTAAGTAACAGTTAACATTATACAATCTCTACCATAAATGGGATTAGAGTATAGTGACAAGACTATTTTATACAACACTGCACATTCTCATATCAAACCTGACGAAGAGCAGTTGATCAAAATTTCGTTTTTGAAATATAATAAGAGATTTCCTTTCTTGGGCGCGTGTTCTTAAAATACACTTTTTTGTGTACTAAAACAGACTTTTACGTCCTGTGAACTACTACTTTACAGGTATATTATACCATACCTACTAAACATGGGATTAGAAAGCACTGACAAGTATTATAAAAATATTCTAAAAAAAGAAGCAAATCAAAATTCCTCGCAAAATTGGGACTAGAATGTACTGTAAAGGTACTACTTAATATTATACAACACCTTCGAAAACTAAAGAAACACAAATTATTCTTTAAAACGTGGTGAGTACTTTCCAAAACTAGGATTAGAATGTACCAGCTATAATTAATGTTTCTAAAAAAAACCAATACTAATACAAGTTATAAACTACCGTTAAAGAAAAAAAGTAAGTAACAGCTAAGCTATCACAACTTTTATTAAATAAAAACAACAGAAGTAAGCAGTGAGTAAGAGTGCACAGCTCGATTCAACAGAAAAAAAAGTCTGTATATATTATAATTAAGTCTCTACAAGTTTCCGTGTTTAAAAAAAGAATGTGATGATTAAAAGTTGAACAAGCTTTGCTAGTGTTTAAAGAGTTACCTCTAGCGAAAAAGCACAATTCTTCATTGGGGATTAAAGTATCACTGTTTCTAAATAGAATATAAGTAACTATCTTGTATTTTAGAAAAGTTGAAGTGTATTTTGTTAACTGATAACTCCAACCATCTTGATAGTATATATACGTTTAAGTTCCAAAGGCTATTACCACACCTCGGTAACTCGCTCTATGTGCGCTTAGAATAAAACGCTATCGATTATAAGGATAATGCTCACAAAATTAGCTTTCGCTATTCTGTATGTAAAATTACCTATTTCAACTGTAGTTATTGCAATCAAATGTATGATTCAGTTTCTTCAACTCGTTTTAGAAATTACAAATTAAAATATTAATTCATGATGTTAGAAAAACACGTAGGTTCAAGAAGTATTTATAGAAATGAATAAAAACCCTATAACCCGAGTGCTTTATAGGGTTATAGGGTTTTTATTCATTTCTATAA